ATGTGGCTCTATTTTCTGAATGACTGGTTACACTATACAAATTTAATGTGTAGACCCTGAGCATTGTGGTAGTAATACCGTATTAGTTTGTTTGTTTGTTTATTAGATATATCACACAGTGAGTGGAACCGTATTATTTACTGGATGATGACGTTTCGAACAAAACCCATTACTGTTCATAATCATACCATCAATTGTGATCACACGACTTTGAAACTTGAATTTTATAGTTTTCTTCCCTTTCTTCCTTATGTCGTAGGGTAGTAGAATTTTCCAGATATCAGGGACAGGTGATGAGTCATTCCTATTACAAGTATTTGGAGTTGATTCGATAAACAACTACAAATACATGTAATAGGAATGATTCATCCATCACCTGTCCCTGATATCTGGAAAATTCTACTACCCTACGACATAAGGAAGAAAGAAAGAAAACTACAAAATTCAAGTTTCAAAGTCGTGTGATCACAATCGATGGTATGATTATGAACAATAATGGGTTTTGTTCGAAACGTCATCATCCAGTAAATAATACGGTTCCACTCACTGTGTGATATATCTAATAAACAAACAAACTAATATGGAATTACGCTACACACAACTGTCTTCTCAACACCAGTCTTCGTCTCGTGTCGGTTCTGGTCAAGTCGTTCTCTTGAATTATGTCTGGTCGTGGTAAGGGCGGTAAGGAAGCAAACGGAGGAGCAAAGAGACATCGAAAGTTCTCCGTGACAACATCCAAGGAATCAGACTGTGACAGCTATGGATGTTGTGTATGCATTGAAACGCCAAGGTCGTACTTTGTACGGTTTTGGTGGTTAATTTTTTCAGCGTGTGTTGGTGGGTGAATGTTTTGTGACCAGTGACCAGTGAGTGAGTGAGTGGTCCACACGAGAACGAATCAAGGTCCTTTTTAGGACCACCATATATTGGTTTGCTATCATTATCGATCGTTTGTGTTGTTTTCTCTAAAAGTAAGCGCTTCTTGGTGGGATAATCGATTGGGATTTGAGAATTTCTTCATCAGTAATTGTATGTAGGTATATAAAAAGAAGTATGGAGGAGTATTTTCGTCGGATTTAGGTGTCACCCTTGGTGTAGAAATCTTCATAGAGTCAGTCAGTCAATTCGCACTTAGTCTGAGTACATTGATATGCAGTTGATGATATACTTGTAACATAAACAGTTGAAATATTTTGTCACAAAGAGGAGTCGAATTTCACGAATATGAAATAAGTGTGAAACGGTTGGCGTATATATGCATGCGTGTTTCAGATCAGGAGTCACCAAATGACCTGGAACTACCACTTCGGATGAAAATAGGAATAGAACAGGGCATTGGGACGATTCCCCACAGCGTCAAGAACTGATTTCGTTCGACTGCAGTTGATTCTCATTCATATCAATCCATTCACATAGCAATCAAACTTCGTTTGAACAGGAACTCGTCTATGTTGACCTAACTTGAATGTGGTCCGTATGGCTATCATACACTTGATCTGATCCTCGACCTGAGACACCTGTAAAACCACGTCTTCAGGAAGTCAGTGGTGAGAATTCAACGTGATCAGTTGTTCTCAGTCGACCGAGTTCTTTCTTTGTGGTTTCGCATTGGTTTACTTCACACTAAATTATTATTGTAATAGGCATTAATTAATCAATGATTATCGAAATACACACCTTTTCCCAATGCCTATAATATATCAGGTTGTTCGCATTTTCATAATATTTCAAAGAGATAGTCTAAAACTGTAGAATGTAAGGGATTGATCATCTGCACATTTGTCGAGAATGTGAGTTACACCAATTCGTCTATGCATGCAGTGGTTAGGACTCTCGCCGACCATGCACATGGTCCGAGGTTCGAGCCCACGCCGACGCACACCTGATATCTACGGTCGGCCTGCGAATTTTGGGCTACCGATATCCACGCTGAAAATTCCATACTTGTATCAAAAATACGGTGTGGAATCAAGCTGTAATCAAAATAAAAAGATAGTAATAAGTCCCAGTTATAATGAGGAGTATCAGTTGCCAAGTTAGACTAGTTTCTCTACATGTATTCACTGAGGCGACTCAAGATGAGCTTTTTACGAGTTGATCACGGATTGATATCAGTTAGAGAACGATTGAAAACCGGCTGGGAGTACTGGACAGCTGCCGTTTCATCCTAGTTTGGGAATCATCGGCAGTGCGCTCACACCACAGTGGGATTCGAACCCAGCACCTTCCGGTTACAAGGCAAGCTGGCTCGTATACCATTCAGCCACTGGGACCCGATTCAGTGGCCAGTCCATGAATTCTAACTTCTACCAATTCGTGATTTAGCGAGACCCCAACCAGTACTCCCTAGTTTTCAATGGTTCTCTAAATGATATCAGTCCGTGATCAACTCGTAAAAACATAACTAACCCTTACAAATCAAACTACAAAAGATGAGCTGTTTTTGTCAATTGTTTATCGCTCTTATCCTGTTGCGCAGTCTTCCCCGAAGCCCTCGGTTGAATTACTGGGGTTTCTAGTAAGAGGATTGACGACTTCTCACAATGAAAATGTAGATAATAAAACAAATTAAAATAAATGACATCAAGTCTAACTCTATCTCTGGTCGTAACCCTAACCTAAATCCTGATCCTAATTACAACCCTTACTTATCCTAACCGTAAGTCTAACCTTAATCCTAATTATGACCCTAACCCTAACGAGGTATTAACACATTGTCCAAGCAGTAATTAAAAACCTGATCTGGATGAAATTTGCTCCCTAATGGATGGTTCAGTGGTTAATGACGTTGACTGAAGCACTGAGTTACACGAGTTGGAATTTGGGATGTGTTATCTTCGCTGATGTGGTGGATATGCCTTGTTGAGGAGTGGCGGCGAGGGGATGAAACTTACGTTTCGGACTTCCTGTCGATTGTCCCTATTCACCTAGTATTCATTCAGAGTTCATGAGACTAGTGGTTTCGTTGACTTGCTGATGACATTGGGAAGACGACTGGTGGGATTCGGTCAGAAGGAATACTAAGAGGATTTCATTCATGACGTCTATTACGCCCTAGTGACTGATCAATATTGAATAGTCTTAGCAAGTTACTATGTGTTACTGTGTGTGTTCAAATGACGACGTCATTGTCAACATTAATGAAATGAAAGTGCAGTATTTCTACTGTTTTGTATGATTGTGAAGACTGTAGAAAACCCTGAGTTTATTGATAAGATGAATATTTAAATGTATTCAGACTGCTTAGTGGGATAATTCTGCGTTATCCCAGACGCTGCCTGATTCAAGTAGTAGATGAGTTTTTATTTGTAAGCTGAACTTGTGGTCTATTTAATTGGTTTAGGTTTCATTGATTTCCTGATAAAATATTCTTTTATTTAGACACTACGTGAGACATCTCTACACTTTGATTTCAAATAATTTTAAGTGGACTACACATTATAATTTACAGAGAGAGAAAAATATATCTCGTAAACAGGTTGTTGTTAAGTTAGTTGAGTCACACTCAATTCCTGCATGTGAATATTCGGTCTAGATGGTTTATTCGTGATAATTTGTACATATTCATAATTTTAAAGGCTTGATTGACGTCAACTGCATATCCTGTTATGTCTCATTCACATTGATTTTAACTTCTGTGATTTTAAGGTAGTTAGCAGGTGAAGTATGAATTTGAAATTAAAATAAAAGGGTCTCTCTTTATCTTACTTTGTCCCGACTAACCAACGAGACTTTAAGCCTCACTTTTATCATACAAATACAAACCAATAGTAGTCATAGTTGTCATGGTTTGGGGGTTATGTCTACTCTCATCCATCGTATGCTAAAAAATAGATATGAATTCTCGGTGATTCAATTCCTTATCGTTTTTACTTCACGCTATTATGACCCCTAGTCAGTCACACTAAACAAGTACATAAAATATTTTTATGAAAAGGTTGAATGAGCATCATGTGTGCAATACCTGATTGAATATCGAACCCAGTACCATCAAATTACAAGGCAATCATTCAATCAGTAGGGAATAGTCCATTGAGTCAGTTTGTGATACATATAGTGTAAGCGTCAGCCAATGCCATTGGTGAGTATTTGACCTACACACAATTGTTCAGGTCTTTCTACTGGAAACTTGGGTGAACTTATCCTGTAGTCAATCTGTCAGTAGGACTGACCAACTGGCAGAAGTTGGAATTGATAGGTCATTCAAATGTCTGATTGTTCAATCCGTTCATATTGTAAACTGAAGTTGTTATGTTCGATTTATGGTAGGGTCATTGAACTCTACTGTCGAAGAGTCCGGAAATAGCATCAAACAATTATCCATAACACCTCGTTAGCCTTCAATGCATCTCCGACTGAAGTCAGTTAGTGATCAATTTTGTGATCAATCGAAGCCCTGGAAACTTAAACTCAAGTATTGACTTCTAGTTAACAGATTTAAATCTTTTCTTCATTGCATTGTTAAAATGTTTTGTCTGTCATTGGAGAAAGGTCACTGGACTGTTAGATGCGATTTTCAAACTAGATTCTTGGAGCAATAACAGTGAAATAAATTATGTACTTGATGCGTTCCTCATTTTCTCTGTTAAACCTACCATTAAAGAATTCGAGAATCTGTCTTCTGAAAAAAAACTGTGTGTGTTGGAATGAATGTCTTAAATATTACTGAAAATGTCTACGTGGTAGTCATATTCACTCTGAGCTTGGTCGTTTGAAACGTCACACTCCTGAATAATATAATTAATGAAATGAAGTATCGATTGCCAAAAGATATACACCATTCAAATTAACGGAAGGCGGGCAGGGAAATGATATGCACTAGAGATTGAATTCAGTTTCTAGAAGACGATGTGAAGGAATAAATCTCAAACAAGTGAATTGGCTTAAAACAAACGATGCCTATTCGTGTGTTTCCTTTTGCCACATCAGAGGAATAATATTTACAATTCCACGAGTATTTTGTTAACTATAATCTTGTTATTAGATCAAGAATTCTGTAACATGCCGACAAATTTTATTAGAAATTGAAACAGTAATACATTTAGAATGATTTGAGTTTTATTTTGAAGAAAAATCACAATGTTAATACAATCAATGTTCAGTATTTGTTCAGTTATATTTGAATGAATTATTCAGCATATTTTGATAGACAGTTATCGACACGTTTCATATCTAAACGAGAGGATAATTATTTCACATCGAAATTTAGAGAGGATAACTTACAAATTTTAGCTATTTCTCCAATTTTTCGCCTAAACCATCTTCATCTAGATAAGCTTGAACTTTTTTACGACATTGCTCTTCCAGTTTGGTCCAAAGTGTTTTCACTCCTTCCCATAGTTTATTAAGTTCATCTAGCTGTTGATTGATTGATTGATTGTTAATAGATTTGATAAACTTACTAAGTCATTTTGATCTGCACGACACCTGTTGTTGTTGAGAAAAGTAATGATAACAATAAAAATGAAAGATTATCTGAATGTATAAAACTATGCGCTAGTTACACAGAACTCATATCAACCTGTAAGCACTAACTGGATGGCCAGATCGGGGTGATCTACAGACCAGATGGCTGGTTCTCTCGATTGGGGTTGAGTTATTTGAATTTGATTATCTTTGTGTATTTGAATAATTATTGACGACGTGAACTTCATAGAGAATTGACGCTATTTGAGGAACCTCACATAGCTAGCCAATACTAGAAAAGTAGTTTACCTGGTTACAGGCGTCATAACTGCCTGTAGTCAACCATGACACAACAAGAGATAAAAAAATGAGTTGTAGGTCACATGGTGATTGCCCTGTGATCAGTTAGTCACTGGACTGAAATAATATAGCCAATGAATATGATAGTTTGACGGCGAGTTGATATCATTTAGAGAAGCAGAAAGGAGTAGTGCACAGCTGTATCGTCGTTGTTAAGGTGTATTCGGAAGGAGGACGAAGTCAAGACCTTCCAGTTACAAGGCTAGCTCGTAGACAATTCAACCAAATCGACATGATCCGATGGCACATGATATCGAACTTGTACCGATTTCTGATTTTATTGTGACCATCAGTAAATGTTATCCTCTAGTATTTGTTCTAACTCCCTACCGAGTGTAAGCCACAGTTCAGTGGAACTCCAGTCAATACTGAGCATCACATTCACTTCCAAGACTTAGTTTACAGTAGATTCATTTGTTTCAAGATGACCAGTTTTACCTGTTTTTCAGTGGTACTGTAACCAATATAGGTATGTAATGAAACTTCAGACAATTGGAATCCCTACACACTAAATATTGCAGATGAAAATTATATTGTGATACCTATTAACACTCATCCGCCATCTGTCTTACAGTCGAGTTACCGGAATTTACATATCATAGAGAAATGAATAATGGATTGTTGAAGGCGATCTGAAAGAGACCCAACGTCACCCAGGTTTCATACATATTGCCACTGACCAGAAAGCTAGGTGAATTTCCAATCTTGAGGAAATCCCTATCCCCTCTGAGACACAGAAGCATGTCACCTAGTGTTTGTGACCTTTCAAGGGAGTCAGTTCAACATCACTCGAAAAGGAACCACTGAAAAATTTCCTTTGAAAACTAATTCATTTCCCGACAGTCTGACTGAGGAGAAACAGACATAGAAGCAGTCGAATCATCGGAATACTTAACAAAATTGGTTCGTCAGAATGGGTCAAGTCATCAAAGAAAAAGAAAGAACATAGGAAATGAGAAACAAAAACACCATGAGAAACAACATCTAAGTGAAGTTGTGGAGGACTTCCAATTAGATACAGTGAAAATGCAACCATTTGTTAGTACAGAACTTTGATTGTTTTCAACGAAACTTGCTTAACTCAAGAGGACCCTAGGTACAGAGTCGAGGGCAGATGTATAATCTGGGGTGGCACACCGAATATATTTGGCATCTCTGTCTCAATTAGAGAAAAGATCACGCATAGTGCCATTTAAATTACACTTCATTCCTCATGAAAAGTTTGAAAAGTTTCATACAATTTGGCACTCCCCAGTCAGCAAGGCGTATTTGAAATCTTGAGGGAACTCATATCTCCTCTGAGATATAGACACATGTCAGTCAGTTCAGAAGTCACAGACGTTACCACTGAAATATTCGGGCTCCCGATTGACTTTCAGTGGGATCGCATCCAATCTTCTCACCTAGTGTCCAATCAAAGGAATGCAAATCGCTTCTCATGATGAAACAATACAGCGTCTCCACACAATATACTACTGAATGCTGTTCGACTTGACGAACCTTCAGAATAGTAGATAGAATTTGCTATCTAAATATCTTCGAAAGCATCTCCTGAGTTAACAACACATTATGTAGGTTAAAGTTGTTACCACTACCATGATTATTATTATTGCCCTTTCTCGCCCTCAAATTCAGTTTACTCGCATACAAACAGTTTCAGTCATAATTTTTCATAATTCATGATTTCACTCTACCATTCTTCAATTCAAACACTAACTAACAAGTTTTCTATAAATAAACATACAAATAAGCTTTTCTCAGCTTAATTCTATTCTTTTCTAAATCATTCACATATTGATTATTTCGTGACAATCTATCCATTCACACTCAGTCTACTTACCATCTTTTGTTGGATGTTTGTTTCTGTCTTTGTATTAGACAACCTTGAACTAATTTATGAATCTGCCTTCCCTCTGTCCACACACACACACACACCATCTTTGTATGATCTTATAATGATGAGTCATCTAACAATGTGTTTCATTTCATACTAATTTTTTATTTATTATGTTTAACCTACAATATATGTCACAAAGATTTTACGCTATACAATTTAACCCAGTTTTGAATTTAGGATGAAACAGATGTCTCATCCTGCTTTCCCCATTCTATAGTAATCTACCTGATGTCAATTTACAAAGACATCTGTGTTGTAGTTAACCAAGTTAAACTGAGAGGCTAACTTTGCTGTCTAAAATGGCCGACAGACACAATTAAAAAATTTATTTATTTTAGCATGACACGATTGTTAGGTCGACTCAAAAGGTCAAACCAGTAGGTCGGAGCCAATTAGATTATCGGAGCATAGACTAGAAGATAGTGGGACCTAGAATGACTCAGCCTGTTAGGTTAGGACGTTACCAAACCCCAAATAAGTCTTTTTCATTAGGACATAAGAATTTAGCCATTTGCAAAAACAACCAAGTTTATCTTAAACAGCATAGGGAACATTAGTAGGGACAAATGAAGAGGAATAGGTAGAATTAAAGATATAAGCCTCGAAATCAGAGACTGAGTAATACCAGAGTTTCTGAAGTAACATATTTAGAAGTCTTTCTAGAAATTAACATGATGTGGGAAGACTAGTAAAGATCAGAGGAAATACACAGGCTAAGGTATTAAACAGTCGACTTAGTTCCAACTTCTCTGCCATGTATGATTGTGGAATCATGTGACATAACAAGTTCATATGAGTCGTGTTATTTGTTTGTGAAGTTTAGAGGGATTTAGCTAAAGACCGCTTGAAAAGGACAACTGACTAATTTCTATTAAAATTTTATTCACTTTGGAACAGTCTGGCTGAGAATTAACAGGCGTAGAAGCAGTTAGTTCATCAGTATACCATACAAGATTGGCTTCATCAGAATGAGGCCGGTCACATAAGAAAGAAGAAAACGGAAATGGAGAAGGAACAGCACCCGTGCGGAAACCAACCGATACTGGTAAATTCGAGCTATACAATTCCTGTCCCTCTCTCTACAACAGTTGCCATTTTATTCGACGACATAAATTTTAAAACTCGGAATCATTTAGAATATGATGCACGGATAGTCTTTCACTAGTAGTAGTGGAAATCAATGGGATGGATAATACATTCATTCATTCATGTGAAACCGATAGTAACTATATTTGGAGAACTCCTATTGACAATGATTAATGAGGTGGCAGTTTCATGAGATTGGAACAATTACTTCGCGACTTAAACGTGTCAAATATTCTCATCTGATGAGCAGAAAGTCCGACTGGTCGGAGAATATTCTCTTCAGTGTGGTTCTTTTCAGGTTCATCCCCACTTCTCTTTTCATTCTTCCTACATGACCTACCATCTTCAAATGACATTAACTTTGTCAAATATGCTGATGACCTAACTGTATCTTTACCTGTCAAATGTCAAAGTGACTGCTCTAAATTAAATGGCTTCTTATCAGAAATCAGCCAATGGTCCAAGGAAAACGGTCTCACCTTAAACCCCTCCAAATGCCAAACAGTTAATTTCACCTTTAGGCACAAATCTGACCTAAACAAACTGGTTAGCACTCACGAGGCGTGCAACATAGATGGCACTGAAATTGAAACCAAGTCGGAAATTAAATACCTAGGCGTCACTCTATCTTCTGATCTTTCCTGGTCGTCTCATATCTTGACGATTTCTCAGAAAATATTCCGTCTTACCTTCTACATCAAGAAGTTAAGACATTCTGGTGTAACCCAACCCTTACTCCTACAATTTGTTAACTCCCGTATTCTGTCTATTATTCTCTATTGTTCCCCCTTAGTCTTTCCTGGGCTACTGAAGAAAGACTATACCTTATTACGTAGGATGTTAAAGGTTGTCAGCAGGGTAAGAAGTGTGCCACTTAGCCAGCAGCTTGTTAATATTCTGGCAGATAGGCACATGGACTCATGTGAAAAATGGGCAAAATCCATTTTATCTGACTCACAACACCATCTACATTCACAACTCTCCCCATGTATCTCTTCAGGGAAAACCAGAAGCCTATATAGGAAACTATATGCCCGCACTAGCAAGTACAAAAACTCATCCATACCCTACCTAGCTCATGTTCTGTGCGATAAAGAAAGCATTAGGCGTGAAACCTTTAGCTTACTAAATAGTCAGTAGAATAAATGGATCTCGTCTTTCCAAGTCACATCATTTACAGGTACAACGTTTTCTCCGTACCTTTTTTTGTTATGTGTTGTTTTGTTTCTCTTTTCCTTGCAAACTCTACTTAAAACATTCTTGTTCGTTCTTTCACACTCTGTATACCTCGACCGTTTTGCTATCGCTTACGCCAGTAAATGTGCTAGTAGTAACTTCTTTTCTAACACCTTCAAACACTCTGTTTAATTTTGGCTTTGCTACCGACATGCTAATATGTTGTTGTCAAAACTGACTGAGATAACCTTAATCTATGTAGAACTATATTTATTGTTAGTGTACTAACTGGATGCAATATTGTAGTAAAATGCTGAGAATTCCATTCTGTATCACAAGTACGGATTTGGAATAAAGCTTATCTTATCTTATCTTAAAAGTCGGTTAAACCAGAAATCTGTATTCACAAATGGGACACCTAGAGTAATTGAGCCACATAAGGCCTTGCTTTAATCACAGAGCTACTCAAAATTAAATGAAGTATAATGCGTAAATATTAATAATGATGATAAGAATAACAGCTTTATTCCAAACAGAATTTGGGTACAATTTTTGGATTTTCAAAATGTCGTAGAGTATTGCATCTAACTTTCTCATTACATGGATATTAATCTAAGCCATGGTACTTACAGTGATAATATGATTGAATCTAAATATGAATATAATATTAAATCAGTTGGATATATCCCTAACCTTACATTAATAGAAAAAATAGGGCCGGTTACTTAGTGTTTCTAATTACGTTATTCGTGTCATGCCTTACACATTTCTCATCACATAAACTATGTGCTGAACAAGTTATTGTAGAGGATAAACAATTGTCGAGTACTCCCAGGTTTTCTATAGGTTCTCTTAATGATGTCAGCTCAGGATGAAATCCTCCAAACAATCAGACAAACAGTAAAATCCCTTGTAAACCAATACTTGAAAATATTGTAAAGTTCTTGCATTCAGACGTCTCTTATTGTTGCATCTACTTCTACCTGATGAGATGAAAGCAGACAGTTGCATATAGAGAGGATGGTCAGCGTCTGACAAGATTATTTTGACTAAATACTCACGTCAGTTGATGTGTGTATTTACAGTAGTATAAATACGTCGGTTTAGCAACGTTCCACTTGCGCTACTCCCAGCTTTCAATGCCTTTCACATTTTAACAAAGTTTTCCTTAAACAGCCTAGGAAAGATTAGCACGGATAAGTGAAGAAAAATAGGTAGAATTAAAGATATAAGCCTCGAAATCAGAGACTGAGTGATACCAGAATTTCTGAAGTAACATATTTAGAAATCTTTCTAGAAATTAACATGATGTGCGAAGACCAGTAAAGATCAGAGGAAATACACAGGCTAAGGTATTAAACAGTCGACTTAGTTCCAACTTCTCTGCCATGTATGATTGTGGAATCATGTGAAATAACAAGTTCATATGAGTCGTGCTATTTGTTTGTGAAGTTTAGAGGGATTTAGCTAAAGACCGCTTGAAAAGGACAACTGACTAATTTCTATTAAAATTTTATTCACTTTGGAACAGTCTGGCTGAGAATTAACAGGCGTAGAAGCAGTTAGTTCATCAGTATACCATACAAGATTGGCTTCATCAGATTGAGGCCGGTCACATAAGAAAGAAGAAAACGGAAATGGAGAAGGAACAGCACCCTGAGAAACACCAGGTAAGTGAAGTAAGTGAAGCTGTGGAGGACTTCCCATCATATACAGCTCAGTGTTTTCTATCAGAAAACTGAGAATGCAACCATTTCTTAATTACACCAGCACCTTGCATGATTTGAGACAAACTTATTCAACACAAGAGGCCTAGATGCAGAGTCGAAGGCAGATATGTAATCCAGGGAGGCACACCGTACATATTTGGCACCTCTGTCTGAAATAAGATGACATTCTGATGTAACTTATCAGTGGTATCGAAAGTACAACTTCTTGGTGCAAGAGCAGTTTGATTGCGGTTATTAAAAACCTCCAAGGAACTTACAAAGTTAAGCAGACACTGTTTTTTCGATTATTTTCAGGAATGATGTGGTATCAGCAATAGGTCTAGTCTTAACAATAAATTTTCCAGAGGATTCAAACACAGAAACATTTTTTATATCCGAATAAGAACCAGACACAATATCAGTGGATAATAATTCATTGAAAATACCAGTGAGAAGATAGAATTAAATGTCTACAAATTTTATGGGGTTAATAACTACTACACCTTCTGTACCATGCGTCTGGGTAGAATTGAAGTGTTGGAAACACTTGAGGATGTCACTTGCATTGAGATCGGAAAAGCAGTTATTATTTATACTGGTAACATTTTGAATCATAACGTCTACTGGGGGGGGGTATATGAAGGAATTATTAAGCGTATCAGCATTGACTAAAATGGATGGTTATTTATGTGATTGCCACCGGTGACTCCCTTGAATACATTTCACATATTTGATCGGGTGATGCATGATAAAACCTTCTTATTGTACATCATACTGAATCTCTGCATTTCTGAGTGAGTTAAATTGTTCAATCACTTAATACCAGGATTATCATTCATTTTATGCAACCTTCCTATTTCTCGGCGATACATTTTGATTTGATAAGAGGTAAAGCGGTCTCTTCTCGATTTTTTAATCATCTAATGATATTTTTTTATGGCTAAGTTAACTGCAGTTATTTTTAGTTTGTTGTCAACGCAGTGCAGAGTACTGCTCTCATGGAAGTAAATAAGAGGGGAACATCATAGAGGAACGCTTATTGGATGTTTGAAGGCGATCTGAGGGAGGCCATACGTGACCTAGTTTTCGTGTCTGTTGACACACACCAGTCAGCTAGGCGTATTTGCAGTCTTGAGGGAACTCATATCTCCTCTGAGATATAGACACATGTCAGTCAGTTCTGAAGTCAGAGACGTTACCACTGAACTATTCGGGCTCCCGATTGACTTTCAGTGGGATCGCATCCAATCTTCTCACCTAGTGTCCAATCAAAGGAATGCAAATCGCTTCTCATGATGAAACAATACAGCGTCTCCACACAATATACTACTGAATGCTGTTCGACTTGACGAACCTTCAGAATAGTAGATAGAATTTGCTATCTAAATATCTTCGAAAGCATCTCCTGAGTTAACAACACATTATGTAGGTTAAAGTTGTTACCACTACCATGATTATTATTATTGCCCTTTCTCGCCCTCAAATTCAGTTTACTCGCATACAAACAGTTTCAGTCATAATTTTTCATAATTCATGATTTTCACTCTACCATTCTTCAATTCAAACACTAACTAACAAGTTTTCTATAAATAAACATACAAATAAGCTTTTCTCAGCTTAATTCTATTCTTTTCTAAATCATTCACATATTGATTATTTCGTGACAATCTATCCATTCACACTCAGTCTACTTACCATCTTTTGTTGGATGTTTGTTTCTGTCTTTGTATGAGACAACCTTGAACTAATTTATGAATCTGCCTTCCCTCTGTCCACACACACACACACACCATCTTTGTATGATCTTATAATGATGAGTCATCTAACAATGAGTTCCACCTTACACTAATTTTTTATTTTTGTTTAACTGATGTCACATAGATTTTTCTTGCTCTCATTGGTTATAATCGTAGGGTCAATTTTTGAGGGTGACTATGATAAGACGATAATATAGATTAACTGTGATCATGAATTCGGTATTGGTTGAACATAGTTTTTTATGCATACGACTTTGTTTCGATGGTTGGAACTTTAGAAATACACATGAATCAGATACGTAGTGATTTCGGTAACATGGAAATGTTTAACCGAAAAGGTGTCATCCTAGATGTGCATTTATTGCACTTCCTACAATTCCGTTTCTACTTTTTTGTAGAAATCTAAAATAGTGTTCTTGCAGCCTTTCGGACTAGCTGAATTTTTGTTAGTAACGCTGGGTATAATGATCGGTCGAGTCGTAATATGTTTCGCGATATAGGGAGAGCTCTGTTATCAGTTCTAATCTACGTATAATTAAATTTCCATGAAACCTCTTTTATCATTATAATCTACCACAGAAAAGACACTTAACAGATGTGGTTTCATTAACGAGTGATTGACGAGTGATCCAAATCCTCTAAAATGAAAGGCGGAATCGGAAAATGCCAAGGAACTAAGTGTAAAAAGCTACTGGAGTCCGCATAAATAAACAAGATTTGGATTTTCATGTCAGTCACTTCAATACGAATCTTTATTGACAACACGACATATATAGACATAAAAATCTATAATGAAATAACTTACTCAGTTGTGTTCAGCAGGAATAGTAAAGCTGTTGCTAAAACTAAGAAGAATTTCATGTCAGTGTTACGTGGAGGTTCTGAAATTTATGATACAATAGGAATGACTCTTTTATACAAATCTATGTATTTATTTATTCGTCCATCTTTTTTCATAGTATATAAACAATAAGCATAATCCGGATGCGTAAATAAATGCTCAGACATGTGATAAATTTCAAATGTTTAGGCTGGTTTCCAGCACCTGTACAGTACCTGTCAACAATATTTTTCAAGAACATTACGATACTAGGTGTCATATGCATATAACCAAGTTGACGTAACTTTGGCTAATCAGTGTTTATATAACAAAACTTTTAAATTCATTATTTAGATGATTATTCAGAGGTTTGGTGAATTGATTTCAATGCAGAATCTGTTACGAAACAGTATTAGCAAGAGAACCTTGGAAACCATGGGAGCACTGTCTTCTCGCCAATATGTACTCAGGAGCGACAGTAACATTTAACAAGTGCTGATCTGATTTCTCGTGATGTAAAATCTCCACCGCCAACATAAATAATACATCAATTTGGGAACCATAGAAAACGTGGGGACAGCTGATGCCTTATCCTAACTTGGGAATGATCGACAGTACGCACCCGCTGCATTCGAACCTAGGACCTTCCGGTTACAAGGCAAGCTAGCATTAGTTCATCTAACAATTCTTGATTTAGCGCGACCTCGACCATTGTCGTTGGTGGGACACCCATCCACACGTGACAACTAATTGGACCACACTGGTCAAACTTTTCACGGGTCTCAGTGGCTGCAAGTGGCTGAAACTTGCCGAAAGATCCTGGATTCGAATCCCAGTGCCGATTATTCCCAAACTAGGATGAAACAGCACTCCCTGGTTTTCAATGTGTTTCATTTCATACTAATTTTTTATTTATTATGTTTAACCTACAATATATGTCACAAAGATTTTACGCTATACAATTTAACCCAGTTTTGAATTTAGGATGAAACAGATGTCTCATCCTACTAACTAACAAGTTTTCTATAAATAAACATACAAATAAGCTTTTCTCAGCTTAATTCTATTCGAATCCCAGTGCCGATTATTCCCAAACTAGGATGAAACAGCACTCCCTGGTTTTCAACGGTCCTCGAACTGATATCGCTGCGTGATCAACTCGTAAAGCATACCTAATCCTCACAAACCGAAACTATAGAAAACAATATATCATGGATGGCAGACATGAGAAATGGGAAAAGTGAAAGTGATGCTAACGCAGGTAGCAACCTATCACATTGGTCGAGTGATGATGATCTGTAATGCTGTAAAACCAGCTAATATTGGTCATAATATTGAAATCACTGCAAGCACAAGTGATTGAGTACTTAGATTTGCGTCTTTTTTACCCACCTTCTCCGGTGAATTGGTTTTAAGTAATGAGGAAACGTTAATGCTATTGAACCATTGTGTATGCTACCTATTTTCGCTGACCGTCCACGCGTGAAAGACCTATCATTTCCATGGGTGTGGCCGTATATAACGCCACGTATGCTAGATATGGTCATTATTACATTACAGATTAGATGTAACATAAAGCAATGTCCCCGTCATCCGCCAACGCTTTCCAGTCTTAATCATATTATCTTCAACGACACCTATCCAAAAATGATGAAAAACCATAACGCAGGACACAACAGCGGAGAACTAGATACTTGGACTCGTTCGGGCAGGTTGGGTTACCTAAAGTTAGACATCCTTGCATTTAAATTCACTCTAATTGGTAATTTGATTTACGCTACGCACGCCGTTATTGGGACTAAAATGCACATGCATCTGATCTGTATGCGTGACGCCGAATTCAAGAACCACGCAGAAAGTACGATTTACTATTATGATTACCCTAGAGATTACGTTCACTTTCAAAATAACCCAACCACGGATAAGTCACGTATGCCATCAACGAAACGGAATATTTTACTTAAATAAAACAAGACAATCTAGGAATCATCATTTGTTGGCCCTAAAAAGGGCCGTGGATGCGTTCTCTACACCTTACGAAATCTACTTGGATCCACTGTACTTGGTGACCGCCTTTGTGCCTTCTGATACAGCGTGTTTGGCCAACTCACCAGGGAGTAGCAAACGAACAGCAGTCTGTACTTCGCGGCTAGAAATGGTGGACTTCTTGTTGTAATGCGATAGTCTACTAGCTTCAGCTGCAATCCTCTCGAAGATGTCGTTGACGAATGAGTTCATAATTGACATAGCTTTGGAGGAGATACCAGTATCTGGATGTACTTGGCGGAGAACTTTGTAGATGTAGATAGCATAGCTCTCCTTCCTTCTACGTTTCTTCTTCTTATCAGTCTTTGGCACCTTCACCTTAGACGCCTTCTTCGCAGCTTTACCGGACACAACAACTTTAGGTGGCATTCCGAGTAGTGAACGCTATCGACAACATATTGTTCACTTTCCTATTTATATATTAAGGGAGTATAAAAAACCACATTTAATTGCGAATAAAAATCTCTTTGACGTATTCTATTGGATAAGGATCTCAAGATGAATTAGACCAATCAGACTACAGAGATTTCACACAGTGCTATAAAGGTCAAAAAAATAGATCGTATGGATGAGATAGTCGATGACCTTGAAACGCAATTCACATAAATCAGCCCGAAATTTCAGATCTAATGTGACCTAAGGTTTAATCAACACTCTTTGTAAGCTGTGGGACAAAGAAATCAAACTTACAAACTTAAATCAATAAACAAAGTTCATCCTAGCCCTGCCACTCAATGGCCTTACTAAACTGGTGTTAAATTAACCTACTAATGATTAGTAATTAATCCCAAGTTTTAGTAAATTAAAAATTCCCATAGTGAAATCAGAAGATAATTTTGAACGACCACAACCACTACAATGATAAATCCATGATTATTACAATATAAACAGCCATTTAAGGCATGTGAAAATTATATCGGAAACTATATTAGAGTACATGTATAGTATGGCGAGATAGTTCGTGATTTTATAGCTGATATTGGACCTTGACAGCATTTATATTGAAATCACAATTATTGTAAGCACCAGTGAAACCCCATATATGCATTTCATTTCTATATACGTTCAAATGACCAACTGTATTATAATAATCATGGATTTGTAACTGTAGAGCCTAAGGAAGAATTTGTCGAAAACAAATGTCCACTTAGTCATCCCAAATTACCTTGCTTGAATATTACGCTGTGAACCATTCCAATGATATAGATTTCAACCTTTGTTGACTATAGAAAGTTTCCAGGTTGTAATGAATTTCTTTCAAATAAATACCTATACATATCTACCTATACGATTGTCCTCTAGGGGTAAAATGATTCCTCCACAACGTCGCTATCGCACCTTTACTCTTGAACTCCCTAAAAATGTTTTAGTGAAAAGGAAAAGAGAAGATAGATTATGTCTCTTAGTCCTACACTAGGACTTTGAAGATTGTAATGAGATCTCTCTGATCACAATATGATACGTAGAGGAGATTTAAACTGCTAAGTCGTTTCTCGTACAACAGATTCACCTGCTTCTAATGAACTATTCTTAAAATGTATGCCTGCCTAGTATATAGACAGTTCTGTACTTTCTTCCCAGTCAGAATTGCATGAAGAGTAGGGGATATTTCATTGGTGATTCTCAGAAAAGAGCTCACACCAATTAGATCGTAGAATAACGGTGGGTGAATAAGATAAGTAGTTGAGAAGTGGCATAGTCAAATAGTAATTTAATAGATAAGCCCCAAAAGCCTACAAAGATTCAGAATTTGCCTTTGCCCGAAATAGGAGAAAAGTTGTGACGTTTTATTGGTAGGTTGTCATGGCAGTCATCTTAATTCCCGTAATTTTCAGTAGTCATCATCTGACAGCAATAGAAATGGGGTAGGGGATCCATATTATTCATACACCATGTCGCTTTTAGTCTTGCGTTTTTTATGCATGTACACAGAAAGTCATTTGGTATCATGTGACTATCCGAATGCTTTGCGTAACTTTGGTTATCTTAGATATTGCATAAAGAGGGTATATCACTTACAGATGAAATAATATAACAATGGACCTAACTATTACTTGAAAGGACCATGTTACCTAGCTTTCCGCGTAGTATTAGGTAGTTGTAGGCTTCCTGCCGATTGCCTCCAACTATTTAATATCATCAAATCAATTTACACCGTAATGGCGAGCTACCTAGTGGCATGGTGGCCACATTGCAAACCTGACTGATAGAATTCTGTCGAACTAGTTACTAGTGTCCAATCAAAATTTTTTTTTTTGATTTACAGCTTGATTCCACACTGTATTTTTGGTACAAGTATGGAATTTTCAGCATGGATATCGGTAGCCCAAATTTTGCAGGCCGACCATAGATATCAGGTGTGCGCCGACGTGGGCTCGAACCCCGGACCATGTGCATGGTCGGCGAGAGTCCTAACCACTGTGCCACCGACGCACATCACGTAGTGTTTGTAAATCGGGAAAGATAAAATATAAATACACCCCCGTTACTTAAATAGGCTGAGGAATAACAAACTTCATCAACTATTAGGACTGATGGAAAGTAACCTGTAAAGTAATGAGAATGTAGTAATAGCTACACCTGAGTTTCAGTTCCTAATTGGCGATGAAGAATAAGCTGAATACCTTGGTAACACAAAAGTAGGATGTAATTAGTGGATGGTGACTAGCAATGGAATTCAGGATGCGCATTTCGTCCTATTTGGCGCTTATCAGCTGGACGAACCTGCATTCCCCAGTGAGTGAGTGGTGATATCCCCACCGAGACTCGAAACCAGCCCCCATAGTTTCAAACGCCGAAACGTTATCCACTAGACCACTTGGGCGATAAGAACCACCACTTAAGCAACGGGTCATATTAATTATTTCATTGAATTTTTAGATTTTCCTGTTATAATAATATCTAATATAAAAAAGTCCTTCGTTTTTTCAAAATGCTGACATATCGTGTTTGTGGAAAGATAAACAAAAATTCAATATCATGGGCCTTTGCACCAGTGAGGCTTTTTATTTGCTTAAGTGCTTACATAAGCGTTGTTTGATTAAAAGGCTCTTCAGTATAGCAAGGGTGTGTTATATTCAGAAAATAAGATTAATCAAGAGTTATTCTTGAAGTATTGATTTGTTGTTTGATTGGTTGGTGTATTTTATCATGCAATGACATCAATTTGAGAAGCATTAGAAAACCTGCAAGGAGTACTGAACAATTGCCTCGTCACAGCTCTTTAGGACTTTTCAGGATTGCACACCCACCGGGTTTCAAACCCAGGTTCAGCAAGCTTGTTGACAATTATGCCACTGAGACCCGATCCAATGACCAGTCCATGAATTATAACTTCTGCCAATTCATGACATAGAGTGAACAATTCACAATGTCTTCTTTGATGAGTTAATGATTATTGAAAACATTCTTACGGAGAACAGAAATCCTAAGAAGATTATAATGATAACCACGTGGACTGACACCTGTAACTATCGAAAAGAAAATCCTTATCTGTCTTGCACATAAACAGAAAGGAGTCTCAACTGAAAACGAGAAATCAATCAAGAATGCATTAAACAGGACGACATTATTCGCCACTAGATGGATTTCACTTTATAACAGGAAACGCTTATTAATTTAGTTGAAAGTATGCTGGTATTCTGCTCATGTCCAAAGTTCAATCAATCGACGGGAAAATCTAAAATTCTATTAAACATGAAAGTATTTTTAATGACCGATGGAAATTCAAAAAGAATTAACTACCCCTATATGATCCAACAGAGATAATTGAGAAACGATCGTTAAGAAAGTGTTGAAACAACATAGATTTTTCTTTCAAGGACTGTATGGATTATTAAGGCCTCCTGAATGTGTAGGTGTACAAAAATCGTTTACTACGTCGAAATACACCAGATATGTTGAATTCTCTATACCACCACACACACCAATGATTTTTAATACCTTTGAAGTTACTGAGTGGTGAAAAAGTAATACAGTATAGTTTTAAATTCGTTAATACAATCGAGAAATTCACCAACGTATAACTAGTGCAAAAAGTCGATCTTATATATAACGAATCTACAATATGAAACATCGACCTGTATCTAAAACTTGGTCACTGTGTTAGTAAGTAATTCCATATAAGATAGCTAATTAGATAAACCGTACCCAGCGGACTCTATCCAAACGTATCACGGAACATTTACAAGCATCGTTTTACAAAGGAGAAAAACGATGCCCCCACAGCTCTATCCTAGAACATCTGATACATTCCAGAGAGCAAGCTACAACCCAAACAAACTTCAAAGTCGTCTACAGAATACAAAGCAGTCTTCCTAAAAGTATACGTGTCAAACTTATTCAAAATGCAGAAGCAATGGCAATTCACTTGCTAAGCCCTGAATTCTGCATACAGAAGAAGTTCGTTCAATCACTACACTTGTAATGGACGTAATCTGTCTTAATACTCGACAGGTAAATTCTATTTCTTTCTGTCTTTTCATTAGTATTGTTTTGTCTTTACAATTGTAATATTTTACATTTTCAACTTTCCGGTTCTCTACCCTCATCCGATTTAATTTCTATATTTCATTACCACGGTTACTGACGTGACCAATACTCAATTTCTAGACATTTATTTTAGGTCATCCAATTCATTTGCTCAAGTTTAGTCCTAATTTAAGTTGCATTATTCTCTACCACACCTCTACTTAGTCTCTACCTGTAATAACCTCTGTTGCTATCCTAACCTAAGTAGAAACATTTTAGTCAGTCATATTACGTCGTCATCTAACTTACTGACTCAATCTTAATTTAGTTGCTGTCTAACTAACCTTGTTTCTACATTAGATCATTCTTGCATTTTCTATCTTTGAGTCTCTCCAATTTCTGGATGTTGTTTGTGACAACATGGCTATACCGGTGATATGGTGTGTGGTGAGACTAAAATTAATATGATTATGAGTGGCAATAATTTATGCCCGAAACGTCATCCAGTCGTTAATAATGCATCATTGTGTGGGATACATGTAACAAACAGTCTGATATGGAATTACATACACTACCACACTGCCTAAGTTGTACATTTACATCAAAGAGAGAAGAAATCTATTCGACGTTCAGTGGAAATATCTGTCATCCAGAGAGGCTGATTTCTCAGAGGATGTTTTGTTTTTAACTCAGTTGTTGTTAACTTTCCAGACTAAGAGCCCCACGTTTGCTAAATGAGGATTGGTGATACAACCCAGTTGTCCAATCTGTAGTGTATGTGGAGTGGGATTCGAACTAAAGACCTGCTGGAAGGAAGTGGAGCGCTGTAGGCGATGAACTACATCAATAAAAGACACTGGATGCAGAATATTTCTCTCATAATTAAGTACACTAACATTTTCTCTGAAATTAAATCTTCAAA